TCACTAGGTTGTTTGCTACCTCTCAGTCTGAGTAGAGTAACTATCAGGAAAACAGTCTCCGGATGAAGGTTACAGCCTGGTGGGAAAGATTGTGCAGTAATTTTTTTGGTTTCCTCAGGATACAAATGATTTAACTATGACAGTAGCGCCATGCTTAACTTTTATCAATGGCAAAAATTCTCAGAGGTTTCAGCTCACTCATTTTTCTTTTCTTTCTTTTTAAAGACAGAATCTTACTGTCACCCAGGCTAGAGTGCAGTGCCACAATCATAGCTTGATGGAGCATCAAAGTCCTGGGTAAAGTGATCCTCCCACCTTAGCCTCCTGAGTAGCTGGGACTACACAAGCGTACATCACTGTGCTGGCTAATTTTTAATATTTTTTGTAGAGACAGAGTCTCACAATGTTTTCCAGACTAATAATACATTTTTCTTGCTAGTTTTTATTCAATTCTCAGTTTGAGAGGAATTAATGCTGCAAAAGTTTGGATAACACCTGCCATCCTCTTAGGGGGCATTTATCATTTTCCAAGTCCTTTTTTCACTTGAGGAACTGTTTCTTATGTCTACCATGGTGGTTCTGGTGAAGGCTGTAAATCACAGTGCTTGTGGGGCATCAAATGACCTGCGTAGATCAATCCCAATGTTCAATTAACTTTGTTGGTTGGCTCAGTGATGGGTTTAGGATACAATTCTGGCCAATCATGGAACCTGCTGAAATTTTTTCTTGCTGGAGCTAGAGGAAGGACGCTATGTTTCCCTGGTCATGAAGCTGAAGGGTGCACACTTAGATCTACTTTCGTTAATAGTTCAGCACTGAGGAGCAGCTGGCAATAAGACGCAGAAAAGACAGACCAAAAAAAAAAAAAAAAAAGAAACAGGGAATTGTTAGTATTGGAGGCCCATATTGTTATCCTGGAGGCTGTGTTCCCACCCTTCCCTTTTGTAGGCTTGCTTATGGGTGACCCCAAATTCTCCTCTCTGGCCTAAGTAAGCCAATTTCAGTTGACTTTCGGTCATTGTCATACAAATTAACAGAAGTGTCCTAATACTTTCCATTCTTCCCCTCTGTCCTTGATTGTCCCCTATATTTGAGTCATTAAGTCTGTTGTAGGCAAAATAATGTCCCCCCACCACCAAGATGTTCACATTCTTTGTGAATATGCAACTTTAAATGGCAAAAAATGACTGCAGATGTGGCTAAATTAAAGATCCTGAGATGGAGATTATCCTGGATTATCTGGGTGGACCCACTGTAATCACAGTGTCCTTATAGGGAAACAGGGAGGCAGGAGAGTTAGGGGAGATGTGAGGATAGAAGTAGAGGTTGGAGTGATGCAGCCATGAGTGAAGGAACGTGGGCAGCCTCTAGAATCTGGGAAATGCAAAGGGATGGTTCTTTCCCAGAGCCTAGAGGAATCAGCCCTGCTGAGATCTTGACTTTAGTGTTTGTGGTAATTTGTTTCGGTAGCAATAGGTAACTATATACAATCATTAAAATTGTTGAGTATCACACCAACCCCCCTGAACTGTTTTTCTCTAATCTCTGTCTTGCCTGGACTTTGCCAAGATCTCACCACACATATTGGGCTGGCCACCTATATAATAAAATCTGAAGGTTTCCTGTGGTCTTGCAGGATATCTATTTACTGAAATTCTTTAAATAAGAAATATATATTTTTTGCATTATGATTTTAGGCTTGGAGTGAATATTCTTTGTGGAAAAACAAACATATTGACTTCAATATATTGAAAATTATTAAATGAGCCCTTTCTCCAAGCAGGTATTGGTGAGGTGGGTTGTGACGAAGCCAGATCTTGAAGGCTTATGCTTTCAGCTATCTATGGGGTGGGGAGAAAGATTCTAAAAAGCCAGAATTCTAAAAGCGAACTCCTAACCTCACGATATCACAAAGCCAGACTTGGTTTCAGCAGCTTGGTTTCAGAAGGTGCCAGTGTGCTTATTTTTGTCTCATTATGTTTGCAGTGTACTGAGAGTTTAGTTTTCAGTCTGTGTAATCTTAACAACTTTAAGCGCTCCCAGTTTCCTCATTTGTAAAATGAGGATTAAATTAATATGTAGCTCATTTGGGTTTTATGAGGATAAATGAGATAGTGAATGCAATTTTGTTAGCACAGTGCTAGATAAGTAGCAAATGTTCATCGAAGTCCAGCAATATGGTGAACTGGGGACCATAGGGACCTGGAACTAACAGCAGCAGTGAGTGGGTGACAGAAAGAAGCCAGATTTACTGGGCAATATGTGGACCCAGGAGCCAACAAGGATGACCATAATAGGAGGTAATCTAGGCACCCATTTAGTATCAGAGAGGCCCTAGCAAGGGAAACAAGCATGTGGTGGAAATCAGGGATATGAAGCACCGGGTCAACTCTGGGAGAAGGAGTCTCTAGATGGCATGACACACTACTGTGGAAGGTGGCAAGATGGCCTGGATCTCAGCTGTTTGGAAGACAATGATTCAAATAAACCAGGCATAGGCAGCAATGTCAGGGTCCAATGACATAATTAAGGTCCAAGGTGGGAGGACTTGATCTTGAGTGGTCAGCATGAAAGTCCAGTAACTGGGACAGCAATGTTAGTCCAGGATGGGAGTGAACAAAGGAAGCAGCTTGGTGCTAAGTCCCATGGTGTTCAGTGCTTCTTAAATCCTATCGCCTATAGTACTGGTTCCAAAACCTCTAGAGTGGAAGAGGGTGTGGGAACAGGAGGAGAGGTTGAGCTCATCCACGGACATCAAGTGCTTCCAGTTTTGGGGAGAGGAAGGTGTAAGATTCTCCCTGGGACCTGAAAGCTTAAGGAGATGAGTAACTCCTCCCTTCTCCGGCCCAGTCCCAAGGAACAAGGCTACTTGCACCAGCAGCATGCTGACAGCAAGATAGCAGAAGCAGGAAGAGAGCCGGCCAGAAGACACCTAGTCTGGCCGGAAGACACATAACCTTGAAGATTTAGAAAGAGGCTATCCGGGTACAATTACATCAGACTAGGACACTTCCTGTTTACATCAGACTAGGATACTTCCTGTTTACACAAGACTATAAAAGCTTTGCCCCTCCTCACTTGGGACTGATGCCATTTTAGACCTCAGCCTGCCTACACCCAGGCTCTCATTAAAACAATGTGTTGCTCCACACCGCCTTGTGTTGTCGGCACACTCTCGAGGTTCAAACCGATATAAGGAACTTTACAGAAGACAGTCAGCAACGACAACAAAAAACAAAACAAAACAACAAAAAAACAAAAAACAGACATGTCTTTTATCTTCAGATAAAGACAACCTATCTTTCTTAAGACTAAACAGGTACAAAGCATTGGGATTATCCACTCCTTCTGAAGGGCAGCAACTCCAAATGATCAAACATTAGCCCTGAGATGGACCCGAAAGATCATATCATACAGCCGCCTCTTTTATAAAATCAGTATTACTCAAAGACTGTTACCTGGACCACCAGTTTCAGCTTCATTATAATGGAAAATGCTTGGTCTCTAATTGAGTATCCTAAATCAGACTCAGGGAGTGGGGAATGAGGGTGAGCTAGAAATATGCATTTTAACCACCTCTCAGGTGATTGGGAACTACAGGTTTTGTGGTTCTTAACTCTGACTGCCCATTATAATCACCTAGGTATGGTATCCTAACCATGGGCCAATTGAACTAGAACTTCTGAGGCTGGGGCTGAGGCTCAGGCAACAGTATGTTAATGAGCAGCCTGTGTTGAGAACTGCTGGCATAGATGGTAGTAAAGTGATTTTCCTAAGGACACTCAATCGAATAGTGGTAGGGCTGGAATGAAAATTCAGTCTTTGTTGAAAAGCAGAAGAAAGTGTGGTCTTTGAAACTGTGTGTACAAGCATCAGAATCAGAGGATTGGAGTCGGTGATTTGAGAGGAAGGGCAACTGGTCCAGTGAAAGCAAGGACTGACCTGGAGCTATTGGTTACTTTTGTGTACTGGCCATTACCTGGCATGCCGTGGGAGAGTTTGTGTTTAATCAGAGTGTACTGACAGAAATGAAATGAAATTGCTGCAAGAAAAAGCCACAGCAAAAATAATCCTTAGCATTAGAGTGACCAAAACACTGTCTTGCTATCTGCAAATCCCGTAGCCCCGGGTCACCATCCAAATCGATGAATAGGTATGTACTAAGCTGATTGTGAAGTTGAGGTGGAGAGCTAAAGAGACCAAATGCTAGAGGGTAGATAAGAAATTAAATGTGTATTACATCCTCCTCTTTTTCTGAGTGTATGATTTTGTGTTAGGAAGGCAGGTCCATCTCAACTTAAATATTTACTCGTCTTTCAGTGCCTTAGCTCCAGGCACAAATTAAATTCCTAGGCTACAACAGTGGAAGAATTTAATCTGCTGTATGCTCCGAGGGTGACGCATGTTAGGCTTGCTTTGCCTTCTGAATTTCTTCTTTTAGATAAGTGGTACTGATTGTAGTGTGGACTGTCAGTAGACTTGAGCAGTGAAGGCCCTTCTCTGAAAGTGGCTGCTCCAATCTTTATTTTTGTCACTGCCTTAGTTGTGAACACTCCTTGATGCTGCCACTATTCAGATGAGACCTGGACACTCAGAGGTATTTTTTGTTTGTTTGTTTTTTGAGATGGAGTCTTACTCTGCCGCCCAGGCTGGAATGTAGTGGTGCAATCTTGGCTCAATGCAATCTCCGCCTCCCGGGTTCAAGCGATTCTCCTGCGTCAGCCTCCTGAGTAGCTGGGATTGCAGACACCTGCCACCACACCCGGCTAATTTTTGTATTTTTAGTAGATACGCAGTTTCACCATATTGGCCAGGCTGGTCTTGAACTCTTGACCTCAGGTGATCCATCCACCTCAGCCTCCCAAAGTTCTGGGATTACACGCATGAGCCACTGCACGTGGCCTCACTCAGAGGTATTTAGTCCAATCCAGTGCTGTTCATTGTAGGATGACTCACTGAAGAGTTAATATACTCTTTTATTTTTCTTTTCTGCTTTTCAGAGAAAGGGACTAGAAAATCCTCCGGATGGGCCTTCAAAGGGTGAGTCGCTTTGGGATGCCAGTTTCTTCCCTGCAGAAGGTGAGTGGGGAGCATACGGAATCTTTGCAAGGCAGTTCATTATTATTATGGTGAACAAGTTCAGGCTACCAGAGTATTTCTATTGACTTAGGAAGAGAATAAGATTTCTAGTCTTATGAGAGTCTGAGGCTTCTAGAAGCAATCCGTATAGCTATTCTGAAGCAAGTGGATAGTGGCCTGATTGTAGGAAGATCCAGGTGCTTCAGTTCAGGTATTAAGGCATGGCAGGGACTAAAGTGAAGTGAGTGAGGGACCTGCCTTGGGCACCAAGTATTTGTGGCTCCATAAACGTACCAATCAAGATAAATAATTTTGATACAATGTGTTAAAAATAAAAAATAATGCAAAAATGCACTCTGAACAAAATAGCAAAATTTTGAATAAAGGCAGGATCAGTAGTCACCATATTGAGCCATACTAGGGCTTAACACAAAAGGAACAATCAGAAATACTGTTTTTTAATAAGATGGAATATGGCAAATGACAAATAATAAAAAAGTGCCACAAATCAGCTCTAGATGAGTTGCAGATCTGAATGTGAATGATAAACAATAAATATTCTGGAAGGAAAAAAAATCCTAATAAACTGGGAGTAAGTTTCTTGAACAGAACTCAAAAAGCACTAACCATAAAAAAAAAAAAAAAAAAAAACCTTGAGAAACTTAAGTGTAACAAGACTAGATACTTCTGTCCATCAAAAGGCACTATTAGGAGGATGAAGAAGCCATTCAGAATGGGGAAAATATTTGCAATTCAAATATCTGACATAAGAATTAAATCTCACATATTAAGAGCTCCTGCAAATAAAAATAAGAAGACAGACAACCTAACAAAAACACGAGCAAGAGACTTGAACAGGCATTTCAATCATGTATAGCTAAGTGACAAATAAGTATTTGAAAAATAGCTTATTTTCATTAATTATCAAGGAAATGCAAATTAAAACCTCAGTGTGATACTCCTGTAGCTTGCATTTTCTAGAATTTTATATGAATGGAATCATACAATATGTACCAGAATGGCTAAATAAGAAAAGCATATAATTCTGAGTGTTGATGAAGAACAACTTGGATTGTCATACACTGCTAGTGGGGGTTTAATATGGCACGAGCAGGATAAGGCAGGTGGATCACAAGGTCAGGAGATCAAGACCAGCCTGGCTAACATGGGGAAACCCCGTCTCTACTAAAAATACAAAAAAAAAAAAAAAAATTAGCCAGGCGTGGTGGAGGGCACCTGTAGTCCCAGCTACTCAGGAGGCTGAGGCGTGGTTGCAGTGAGCCGAGATCATGCCACTGCACTCCAGCCTGGGTGAAAGAGCAAGACTCCATCTCAAAAAATAAAAAAAGTAAATAAAAATTAAAAACGGTTTGATAATATCTTCTAAGGCTGACCTAGTACATCCTTCCTGGCCAAGCAATTCCAACAGAAAGGCTTACACATGCTCATCAAAAGACATGCACAAGAATGCTTAACATCCTTAGTTATTACAGAAATGTTAATTAAAACAATAGTTAGATAGCACTCCATACCCATCAGGATGTCTAATAGGTGTCTGAAAGAATGGACTCTATCAAGTGTTAATGAGGATGAGGAGCAACTGGAACTCTCATATACTCTTGGTGGAAATGTACAGTGTCAAAAACAGTTTTAAAGTTTTTTAAAAAAGTTAAACACATAGCTACTATATGACCCATGAATAGGTATTTACCCAAGAGAAATCAAAGCATGTGTCCATACAAATGCTTGTACAGAAATGTTCATAGCAGCTTATTTTTTAATAGCCACAAACTGGAAACAACCCCAGTGGCATCAACAGTGAATAGACAAGCAAACTGTGGTGTATCCTTACAGTGGAACACTGTTCAGCATTACAAAGGGAATACACTATTCACACATAGAACAACATGAATGAATTCCAAAATTATTCTGCTGAGTGAGTAAAAAGTGGCAGACAAAAAAAAAAGCATACATATTGTATGATTCCATACATATAAGATTCTAGATAATGCAACATAGTGATAGCAGATTGGTGATTGTTTAGGGATTGGGGATTGTAGAAATAGGTGGGGCTGGGGGAGGAATGACAAAGGGGCATGAGGAAACTTTTGTGGGTACTGGATTTGTTTATTATATTAACTTTAGTGATAGTTTTGTGTATGTGTGCATGTCTGTGTGTGTGTGAGTCAAAATTTACCAGATTGTGAACTTGAAATATGTGCAGATTTTTATGTGTTAATTATATCATGATACAACTGTCTTTAGAAAACAGTTACATGAAGGCTTTGCTCTCAAGTTTCTCCTTGCCTATCAGTAGATAGGCAGATAAACATATCATTATAATGCACATGTTCAGTGCAGTTATGAAGGGCTTTGGCAAGATGCAGAACCTAGCCAATTCAGGAATACTTGGAGGAATCAGGGAAGGCCCTGGAGAGGATGTTTGGTGAAGTGTAGGGAGTCTAAATGACACAGTTTAAGGCAAACCTGGAGATGCAGTTAGAAACCAGCTGGTGAAGGGTGCCGCATTAGAAAGATGTAGACAAGGAGATGCGTAAGAGCAATGAATACATTAATAATACTAATCACAGTTTTGGGAGGTGGCCTGATTTTCTTGGTGAGATTTATGATTTCCAAATCTCATCATTTAAAGATCAATGGACCTTGATTGAATGAACAGCCTCATTCATTGGCCCTCCACTCTACTGTTCACACTGTATGTCCTAGAAAAATAATATGTCCCAATATAAAAATACTGGTTCCATTTTTAATACAGCTTGAGTGTTCATTCCAGGCAGGACAAACAATTTGTCTCTGTGCTTTTATATTATCTCTTTTTTTTTCAACTTACTTTCTTTGAATGTAGTAAAAACACATTTTCTACCTAGCAAGGTAAATTAAGTTTTGCTCTTAAACTTAGGGTAAATGATGTGATGTAATGTAATCAACTTGTTTAAAGGTCTGGGGAAGAGGTATCTATGGCAACCTTCCCAAGTCATTCTGGTGAATATCCTAAGTCTAATTTGCCTTCAGATGACTTTTAGTTGGGATGAGTAGCAGAGGAAGGAGAAGAAGTAGTAGGAGGAAAAGGAGAAAAGGAGGAAAGAGGAGCAGAATGAGAATTATGTGAAGCCCCACTATTAAATGCTTAATAAATAATGTAATTAAATTGCTATCAAAGACCTTCCATGAGTGTTTATTGGAATTTGCATTTGTCCTAGTTTTGTAATTGCAAAAAAAAGCCAAAAGGAGATTGACATTTTGTTTTGTTCTCATTGTATGTTATTTCCTCCAGAGTACAAATAAGTCAAATAATGGATTTTATTTTCTAAAGTTCAGAAAGTAAATTTGTTGATATTGTATAAGTAAACAGGTTCTGACTCTCAATGACTTAAAATAGCTAACATTATTATGTACCTCTACTGTTTTATTTATCTCATTTTCTTCAGTCTCCACAGAAACCCTACAAAGTCACTTTTGGTACACAGAAGTAAAAAGCTTGTAAGGATAGAGATTATCTAGCTTGCTCAAAGTCAAATCGTTAATAATTGTGCCTACCCAGCTCAGTTGACTGGGACCTGGGTCAGTTGTAGCCATAACCTGTGCTCCTTAAGCTACTTCAGATTTCCCCAGGCAGGTTTCACATAACAAATAAATATTTAGGCATAGATGATACGGTGTGGGCACATATTAAGCACTCAAAAAGTATTGTGTTTTATTTTGATAGAAAACTTACCTACTTTTCAAAGTGTATTTTCTAAACCTCAAGTTATTTCTTCCTGCATTTAGTAAACCTTTAGAAATGAGTCCTGAAGGGGAAATTTAAGGGATTTATCCTGCCTTCTCCCTCTCTTGGGAAGGCCCCCGATCTCCTTTTTACATCTGTTTGAGATGGTTTTTCTCAACCTTGTCCTTTTTGTTCTGTAGTGACTGATGCAGGGATAACCCAAATGAAGTAATCAGAATCTATCTACAAAATTTTTGTATTGTGTCAAAGACGAGAATCTGTCTCTCCTCAATCAGCAGCTACTGGTAGCCAAGTTTCCTCAGGTGGTGAGTGAATAATGGCAATGGCTGGAAAGAAGTAGGTGGACCAATGTGGCAGAGTCCTTGGACTCTTGACTGACCTGGCTTCAATTGTTTTGAGGCTCAAATTCATCTCTGCTGACGACAATTTAATTCTTCAATTGTACCATGAATCCCGAGAGACAAGAGATTTTTTTTTTTGGTCAGTGTGAGTCTAAGCTGATTTTTCTATAACTTGTCACCAAGAGTCCTAACTGATGTAAACCTCATCAGAAAAGTAGTGTTTCTGTCATTATTTTAAACTCTGTTTGACAATTCTGGCACAAAAAAAGGATAAGCTGCCATGAAAGTACATTTATTCATGCATTTTTATAAATATTTAAAATAAGTGGCAGGGCACGGTGACTCACGCCTGTAATCCCAGCACTTTGGGAGGCTGAGGTGAGCGGATCACCTGAGGTCGGGAGTTCAAGACCAGCCTGGCCAACATGGTGAAACCCTGTCTCTACTAAAAATACAAAAATTAACCAGGCATGGTGGTGCAAGCCTGTAATCCTAGCTATTTAGGACACTGAGGCAGGAGAATCGCTTGCACCTGGGAAGCAGAGGTTGCAGTGAGTCGAGATCACACCTCTATACTCCAGCCTGGCAACAGAGAGAGACTCCATCTCAAAAAAAAAAAAAAAAAAAAAAAAAAAAAAGGCATTTAAAAGCTGTAGCTAAACAGTGATTCCAAAAGATAATACTTATTGGAATTACATTTTAAAGAAATAAACACTTGTTTATAAATATGTAACTTTTACATCAACCTTAAACATCAGTCCTGCATCAGTACTAGATCTGGCCACAGATTTTAGTTGCAAAATTTCTAACTAAACCAACCCCAGATGATTTTAAGTAGAAAATATCTTATTAAAAGAATATTGGAGAAATTTCAGTTTCAGCAATGGCAGAGTGGCCTGTCTAGGAAAATT